CTCTCTCTCTCTCTCTCTCTCTCTCTCTCTCTCTCTCTCTCTCTCTCTCTCTCTCTCTCTCTGTGTGTGTGTGTGTGTGTGTGTGTGTGACCACCGCCGCCAAATTGCCCCATTGGCAAGAAGAAGAAGAAGAAAAAGAAGGAGAAGAAGAAGAAGAAGAAGTAGAACAAGAAGAAGTAGAAGAAGAAGAAGAAGAAGAAGAAGAAGGAGATGAAGGGACAAGAAAACACAAGAAGGAAGAAGAAGAAGAAGAAGAAGAAAAATGAGAAGAAGAAAAAAAAAAACAGCAACAAAGAAGAAGAAGAAGAAGAAAAACAGCAAAGGAGAAGAAGAAAAAAAAAAATACAGCAAAGGAGAAGACCAAGAAGAAAAAAAATTACCTGGGGCCTGGTCCCACTGGCAAGGGGATAGGATAGAAAAGAGTTTGTGTGGCAGTGGAGTGACCCAAAACCTGCTGTGCAGTAATCGTGATCCCACAGTCAGTATTTTACTGTATTACCCGAAAAAGTAAAGAGATCTTTGTTCCCCTCCTCCTCTCCTTAACACTGGGCACGCCGGTGCAAAGGAAGCTTCCCGCCAAAATACTTTCAATCCGTTGGGGGTATGGCCAATCCCAAAAGAGAGTCGGGTCGGCCATAGGCCCACTGGAGAATATTTTCAGTATTTTGCTTACTGTTGTGCAATTATCTCATTGGGTGGAGCCCTCCTTCAATCACGGAGTATATGGAGGGTGTCAGGATCACTGCTGACAGAAGTCGAGTTTATTCCAGAAAAAAAGCGGCAGTTACTTCGTTCACTGTTGTTGCAACCACCACCATCAGATCATCTGTGATCTGATGGCTGGGAAGCACTCTGCCGTGATTTCCGGTGGCAGGTCTTTGTTTCTTTTTTTTTTTTTTGCCTTTCTCACTGTTTTCTCAGCCCAGAAATTCGTAATGAACCTGTCAGCTCGCTGCCACTCAGTGTCTGGATCGGCCAAACTCCTATCCCTCCGCTAATGGGACCATGCCCCTGAGCAAAATTTTTAGGAGGATGCTAACTCCATATAAGTCATGACAAAAAAATAATGAAAAAATAAATATTCCTGCTTTTCTTTCATTTATTTATTTTTTTTCCCGATTTTTTGTTGTTCTTTTTTTTTAATTCGTAAATCAATTCAAAAATTAAAACAAAAAAATATTATGGGGTTGTACAACCCCTTCTTTTTTTTCACGCATTTTTTGACCCCAAAACAAATATCCAAAAAATCGGGCCGCAAACTAGAATCTGGCGCCTGATCTTAGGTGAAGAGGTCCCTCCCCCCCCGCCCCTCCCCCCTGCTCAGTTAATCCCCCGGATGCCAGGGCAATCAATGCTGGCAGGAACTTCTTAGTATGTCTTTTTCCAATCTGTTTATGGGACGCTGGACCCGTTTTCCAGCAGGTGACGCTCCCCACCAATAGATGGAGTCTCTCCCCGAGTGGTGGTGTTGTCTGCTCTTACCAGCATCACCATCACCTGCAGAGGGGTGTTTCTGGGGGAACAAAAAAAAAAAAAAAGGGCCGCAAACTAGGCCGCCTGGGCGCGGCTGCGGCCGACTTTTCTGGCCGCGGTGGCCGAATTGCCCACGGCCTAGGCCGCGGGTGTGACATAGGAAAGAGGTAACAAGAAAAGGAAAGTACATATTAGAGAGAGAGAGAGAGAGAGAGAGAGAGAGAGAGAGAGAGAGAGAGAGAGAGAGAGAGAGAGAGAGAGAGAGAGAGAGAGAGAGAGAGAG